CCATGTCCGCCGATCTTAGGGGCCAGGTTTCGCAACCGTACAGTAAGGTCGAACGTACCGCTGCATTGTACACTCTACCCTTCAGGGCGAGAGTAATGTCTCGCCGTCGCTATAGGTGGCGAAGGTTAGCAAAAGCACTTCGAGCTTTCGCTATGCGGTTCGTGATCTCGTCTTCGATCCCAAGGGCGCTGATACAACTTCCCAGGTAATTGAATTTCTGAACGACTTCTAGCTGATCCCCAATAAGGGTCAGCACAGGGGGCGAACCCTGCCAATCCTGGAGGAACGCTTTGCACTTCGGTGGTGCAAAGCAAAGCCCGAAGCGACTGACAGCCAGTGCTAATCTGTCCAGCGCGGCTTGACACGTCTGGGAGCTGTCACAGATGAGGGCAATGTCGTCTGCATACTCTAAGTCAAGAAGTCGTTCTCCTGGGAGTAGCTCCACACCTTCCAAGTCATGTCCTGTAAATGCAGTCTCCATGACTTCGTCAATAGCGAAGTTGAATAGGAAAGGTGACAGCGGGCATCCTTTTCTCACACCGCTGGAGATATTGAAGGGTGGCGACAGCCTGCTGTAAGCCCTTACTCTGCCCGTGCTACGCGCATATAATGCTTGGATAATATTTACATATTTCTCGGGCACACCTTTCCTGATTAAACAATTCCAAAGAGCACATCGATCAACCGAATCGAAGGCACCTTTGATGTCGAGGAACACGACTACTGTGGGCCGCCAATATGTGTGACGGTGCTCCAACAACTGACGCAAGGTGAAGATGTGGTCGATGCAGCCACGACCCCGACGAAACCCGGCTTGCTCCTCACGAATCTGGCTTTCACGAGCGCCTGTCAGTCTGTGGAGAATTATGGACGCGAGTAATTTGGAGGCGATGGAGATCAGACTGATTCCTCTATGATGGTCGATTTCCGAGCGCGAGCCGCCTTTGAAGATGGGAACAATAACGGAGCGGCTCCAGTCGGTTGGGACAGTTTCCTGCTCCCACAGTTTCACTAGTAATTCATGCAAAGCATCAACAAGAGCAGAGCCTCCAAATTTGAAGTGGGCTGGAGGAAGATCATCTGGTCCCGCGGCTTTGTTCAACTTCAACAGTCCGATCTCACGTTCGACTTCTGAGCGAGAGGGTGGATCCAAAGGGACAGCCCACGGAGCGGGGCGATCAGTGACCGGCGAATCGAACAATTCTTGCCGATTAAATTGCTTTTCAAAATGCTCAGCCCAACGCTCCAGACGTTTTGACAAATTGTGGATAGGCTGTCCACTCTCGTCACGTATAGTTTCACTAACACCAGGTCTCCTGCTGCCCGTTTCCCGTATCAGACGGAATAACTTACGATGGTTGCTAAGGGCAGCGGCCACTTCCATCTCTGACGCACGATGAGACCACCAAGATTCGCGGTCTCTCTTCAGGCTAGCACGGAGTTTTGCCCGGAGCTCTTTGCGAGTTTCATTGTGCTCGCTTCCAGCCGGGATTTGCCGGCGAGCATCTATAAGTTCCAGAGACTGCGAAGAGACCCAATGTCCATGTTGTCTATTAGACATACCACATGAGGATTTGCCTGCTGCTAGTAAGGTCTGGCGAACATGTGACCAGTGACCATCAATTGTCTCCTGTGAGCGCTTGCTCAACTCGCATGTTAGCGTACTTCGATACGCATACAGAACAGCTGGTTTTGTCAGTTGGCTGGTGTCAATACGCTCACAGCGTCGTCGTGGGCGTCCGCCAAAACGCATCCGCATGTCAGCACATACAAGTGCATGATCGGTGTCCACACATGTACTCCAAATCGAGCGACAATTCTGGATGCAGCCTCTCCAGCGGTAACTTATCGCAATGTGATCGATCTGCGTGCAAGGCTGGTTCGAGGTTGGTGGGCGCCAAGTCACCCTTCAGCGGGTGCTGTGTCGGAAATTAGTGCTCGCAAGAAATAAGCGAGCATCTTCACACAAATGAAGTAACCGCTCACCGTTATCATTACGGGAGCCTACACCGTGTTGATCCGCCCAGATGCAGTTCATCAGTGGACAACTTTCCAACTTGTGCGTTCATATCCCCCGCCAGCACAACAGTGTCCGTGCTTCTTCTGTGGCGAAGGAGCTGGGTCAGTTGGCGGTAGAAGTCGTTCTTTACCGAATCATCGCTACAGTTTGTGGGCGCATAGGCAGCGATGATGAATAGACATCTATTAGTCCCGCGCGACTTCGAAGCTTTAAACGAGCCAGCCAATCGGACCGCACACATCCGGCTACTGATTGGAATCCAATCAACCAGAGCAGCTTCAGCCCGGGGACTCAGGGCAATACCAACACCGGCTTGGCCGGTGCTCGAAGCTGCATCGTCACCGGATAGGCTCACTGAGAAAATACTGCTTGCGTCCCCTGAAGGGGATCGCAGAGTGAGCACAGTGCTCGAGTCTTGCAGGCGAGTCTCTGATAAGCAGCAGATATCGATCGAGAGGGTCTCCAATGTTCGGGCAAGTGCTGCCTGTTGACCGATTTGTAGCAGTGCGCGTACATTGAGGCATGCCAATCTGAAGGAGGATCGAGGGCTCCAAATGGAAGCCGATGAACTGGATTGGACCGCTTGGTTGGACATGGGCTTGTCGACAGGAGAGGAGTGACGCTCCGCGTTCACGTGTGAGTTGAAATTAGAAGGTAAATGCCTAGCAAAGCATGTTGGGGGAGGGCCAAGAATCGGGGGGTTGAAAACTGGGGGATATAAGTGAAGTTGGAATGGGACGGTAAGAGTGAAAAAGCGTAAGAGGGGGAATAAGAAGACGGGAAGGCTTGAGCAGTAGCATCCAAACCCCTATCCACCCTGCTCGATGCAGCAGATAGGGCACCGTTTATTATCCTCTGCGGTGGCCAGAGCATCAAGGAATTGTTTGAAGGAAAATTCATAGTATTGCGTGGGCAGAATACTGTCAGGTTGCCCAGGCCTAGACAGGAGAACGATTAGGGTTCTCAACCAAAGCCTTTGGTTCAAAAACCTGACCGCAAAGGCAGCGGGTTTGGCGTTGGGCTACAAGGAGTCCATTTTAAGGAATAAGGTGCCACCCTCATTCCAACCCCCAACCTGGAGGACCAGGAGGCTGAGTTTGTCTGGCCTCTAACCATTGACCAATCTGGTATGAGTGACTCTGAAGGTGCAAAAGCACCACCCAGCGTAGCTCAATGGATCGCTGAGGCACACAAACCATCGCACCACGGTAAGGTCCAGCCTCATTGCGATGGTGTGATTGGATGCCCGTCCGTTCGCGATCAATACCAGGGTTGTTTTGAATGTACTGAGTGTATGTACCGTTGGCGTGAATAGAAGTTTGTGTTACGTACCAGTAGAGTTCTGCTTCCTCGTTCGGGGCTTTGGTCGTGCTTGTTCAAGACCCTGCGTGCAGGGGACTAGTGTACGTGTAGACACAACAACGTTCGGTAGATGACCCACATATATTCATCTTATCGTATTCACCCCAACCATCCTACAGGACTTGTCAAGCACTTGCTTTTATCCCGTGATAAATCATTGTTCATTGGAATAATGCGAATAAACCAATAGGAATAGTTAGCAGCGATCGAATAATATTTAAGAGACTATCAAAATTAACCGTCCGATTAAGTGACCATCGGAACCAACTGATATGTGTTGGGAAGGCTTGCTAACCTTGAACGTTAATCAGATACTAAAGTAACTTGTCCTCGGAGGCACAGTGTTGATGCTAATTGGTATAACACATTGAGTAACGTGGCTTAGCAAAGCACTCACATGAGCAATCTGGTTGTGTCGCATTCTGGTTGGGTTGGGCGGTAGAATTAAGCTTCCCGTTGGGATTTTTACTTGAAAGAGTTGCTCGCCATTCTTTGGGGGGATCGCATTAGGTTTTGTGCTAATGTCCGTCAGATCGATCAGATTGTCAACCACAGCACTGTCCATGCAGCTCGCAGGAGGTAAATTGGAATCTGGTTCGGGCTTTGATGTACATAAGAGGAGAGGAAACATAGCAGGCATTTTCACTTCTCAGGGTGTTAAAAGTTAATGTGAGTTTAAAGCGGACTACGAATCTCGGGGGGCTTAACGAACACGTCACGCCATATGGAGTTCAGGCTTCTCTGGTACGTTGATTGCGAAAGTGTACTGACCAGTTTACTACAGTCAAATGCAATCAAACAAATTGGGGATGAATGAATGAGTGAAATTATAGTCAATATCCGCCGCTGATTGCCATCCGTGCGTGTTTTGTCTTGTGCTACACTAGAACAAGTAATCCGGCACAACTTTTTAAGTTTGTGATGAAAAGTCACGATGAGCATATTAATAACATGGGCTCATTTGCAACAATAACTGAAGCAGTCAATCAATTTACAAAATGTGTGCAACTTGGGTGAATTCCGTCCCACCGGATGTCATAACTCAGACCCGTCGATGGAATACCAGCAATGAAATCTTGTCCAAGCTGGAAAGTACGATCATCACCATACACGTAGGCCGCAGTTTCCTACAGAAGCTTCACTAGGTACGTGATCCATTTTATGTACTCAGCCGATGCAATGTCACTATCTGAGCCTTCATTAACTCCGAGTAGCTGAATGCAAGCTTTAGCACATACAGTTGGTTCTATAACATTCTCCACCGCATCCGGATACATCCTTCCCAACCTGTACAGCCAGGTACCGAACACATATTGACTTTTATAGTTACGGAATTACAGTGTCTAACCTACTGAGTGTAATGGATGGACGAGGCGGTTTATCTCTTAGGCAGTTCCTCAAAATTGGGTCATGATTACCATTCTCATCAAGTCAAGTTAAGGTAAACTTTTTGTATCCAGATGGGTGCATTTTCAGCAATTTACATTTTCAACTGCAAGTTGATTGAAATTGCATCATTGCACATGCAAAAATGTATGAACGGATGTAGAAAAGAGGAAAATGCAGATTGGCGTTCTTGAGCACTGAATGCCTTTTGATAAACAGACTCCTCATGTTTTTTGCAAACGAAAGTGTTTAGTTTTGTGAGGACATTTCTTCTTAATTGATTTTACCTATTCTAAAGTTTGCGGCCGGAACAAACAGATCGCGAATATTGCGTGGTATCTAGGCTTAGCATTCAAAATATCGGTCTTGCTGTTAATAGAAGTACTTTGGACAAAAAGGTTGTCAGATTAGTCCTATATAACGTGTTATAACCGCAGTTGAGAAAGTAAAAAATGATGCTTAGTGTAAAGCAACGGCCAATTTAAAGGCCCCGCTAGATGTAGACGGATAAAAGACAGAACCCGAAATGTATTGGAACAGACTCGGAAATAACCTCTTTAATCTTTGCTAACTTCGCTAAAGCTTGTCCAAATCGTCGGTACATTCGACTCGGCAAACGAGTTGCATGCATCCTCAGCTCATGTTCATGATACTCCTGAGCTAACGGTATCGCCTAATCACGAAAATATGACCAAGAGTAATGGTGCAACATCCGCGAAGCGCCCTCTCTCGCTCTGTACGACATTATCACTAAATGGCTGACAAGAGTTCGTTCATAACCAAACCACTAGGGCTGCGGTCCAAAAATAATGAAAGTGGTGCTACTCTCTGAAGGAACGCCAGAAGTCCTGTTGGATAACTGATTAAGAGTTACGGTCAGATTTACAACGGAGATTCAGATAAAGACAGCAAGCGCACTGCCACGAATGGTCAGCAATTCTCTGGAACATTCAACCTCTGTACAACCTTTGCTTCCGCAGTCCTGCGGAGGATGGACCTAAGAGCACTCGCGGTATAAGACAGGACAGAGCAAAGCATGACAGAACATCGTGACCAGGCAAGTTCTGTGCTGCAAATCAGCCTGACTCGAATACAAGAACGAAGGACCCACCAGAAAGGCGATAAAACGGCTGACCACCAAATGGTCGGCCTAAAACAAAACACGCATTTGACATCCAACAACAAGCATCAAAAATTCACAATCTTATCCTGTTTGTACATCAACGCAAAAGATTTTCTTAATAACCTAGCCGAACTTAGAGAGCGCCAGGCTTCACATCCGAGGGATCTCATCATGAGTATGGAGAGCTGCCTAAGCCTTGGGATAAATGATTCCGAGATAAATTTACCCGAAATGTCGCTGATGTGGAAACACAGAAATGGAAAGAGCAGTGGCGTACTTCTTTATTACAAAACTATCCACCCGATGTGCCTTTTGGTCACCCAGATTCGCTGCAGTGCCTGCTGTAGTTAAAATAATAAAATAAGTAATGTGTCAGCTGTATGCCGTAACGGTGCTTAGCTGCCGTGAAACCACCACCAGTCGAACGCAGCCCTAGTATACCGCGAGGACGTCTACCCCTACACGGATAAGAACCCGCGCAGCAAGGTTACGACACAAGCTCGTTACCTTCAGTCTACGGGTCGCCTGCTGTGGTTGCCTAACGAAGACATTTGCTATTTAACCACAATGTACCGTCCGCCAAACTCTAACTAGGAAAGGGACTACAGACTGAACCACGTCGTGAAAGCTGTGCTGAATAGGTCATACTGCCACATTCTCATCGCAGGAGACCTTAATGTGCATGGTATGGGAATGCTAGCAGCCGAAGGTGTACCGGCTAAGACCTTTTAGCAAGAGCTAATGTTCAGTTATCCACAGTACAAGCACTCGACCGCTCCCACCAGATTCCAACTGCTAACAGGGCGTCGATACTTTAGGTTGTGATTACCAACGAAGAACTGATGGTCTACTGTATAGTTAGAAGCAAACCATTAAGCTGCAGCAACCATGTTACTCTGCTGTTTGACCATATATGCTATGCGGAATGTTTTAAAGAAGAGGATGAGAAACTGTATGCTATCATGCACTTCAATGCGTTATCTTTGCTTTTTAAGATGACTTTTGGATCTCCTTAACTGAATACCTCCAGAAGTCGACTGCGGAATGTTCACAAAAACGTTTAACACCCTGGAAGCGCAGGCAACATAACAGCAATTTTTCCGCTGCCAAAGAAAAAGTAAGTCATTGCTGAGGATCAAAAGACGTAACTAATGATCCCTGAGAAATTTGGCATGGAGAGTACACAATGACTGTCCGAATGCTGTAAGCTGATCTGAATACGTGGCGTTGCGCAACTTTGAAATCGATCCGCGCATACAAGAGGACGCATCAGTAGGTGCTAATACAGCGATTCTGCATGAAGCGCAAACTCTTATACAGGCATGTTACTGGCTTTCGTAAGATGCAGCGCGAAATCCCACCACTAGTTACGACTCACGAGTACATGAGATCAGTAACTGAAGCAGCCGATCACGAACGGTTCCCTTGCTCCCATACGCCCCGGCGACTACGTGCTCAATGATTATCCCTATTTCTAGAGTCCCACCGTTATGTCTATCCAATATCACATTTACTGCAATGGTCAATGATAAGTGGCATATTGAGAACAAAAATGTCTAGACCTAAAATATTCTGCAGGAGGGCGAGTGATGCTTTGCAAAATAAGGGATATGCAATCATAAACGGAGAACAACCGAAAACATTGAAGTTGTCCGCCTGGATCGTTCACAAGTGTTTCTACGCAACTTAAACTATTACCGCCTTTGGTTTTCTCCAAAAAGCCGTGTAGGTTGTTGCGGTTTTGATTTACGAATGTGTGTATGGTTTACGTGTGTTACATGAGGGGGTGTAACACGGCCAGCGTAGTGTCGACAAGATATTTGAACAGGGCTAATGTGTTGGGGGAAATAGCAGGTTGTAGCAGTGAATTCCACATGGGGCAAACACGTAGAGAGAAGAAAACCGTCTATGACCAGGCAGTTGTATTTTTCTGCTAGTTAGTGACGGTGGCCTCTCAGTCTGTTGTTATGGTTGAACTGTAGCAGCGGATAGCACGTGTGGTTGGGGTTGCCTAAAATCTGTTAATTCATCATGAGATCATCACGCAAATGCCTATAGCGTCCGCCGAAAACTCCTAAAATACTCAGACAATGGAATAATGGCATATTACGGACAAAAAAGCGGTTGCTTAACTAGTACCGTAGGATGGTCAAAAAGAGGACCATAATATGGTGAATAGAAAACCGAGGGATAAAATGAAAATCGTTTAGGAGGACTCACCACAGTGTTAACACAGAGGCATTCAGAAAGAACCAACCTCAGTCGTGTAGGTTACTTCTGATTGTGCAACTTTTGTCTCATTATCTCCTCTGTCGGGACAAACAGGCTATATCTCGCACGGTAGGTGAATTATGGCAACATCAAGTAGTTTATTAAACACAGATAAAGTGGGGGCGGAAACAGCGTAATTTAGGAAGGCATTCCATAGTTGGTGTACATGAAAACAGTAAAAGTTCCGTCGACATTTCAGCCGACTGTAATGTGTGGCTAACTTGAACTGGTGTCCCCGCAAATTCGTGTCTTGGTTCAGTGGTAGTAAGTGGCGGCAGATGTGTATGGGGTTCCAGAGAATCTGCCAGGGCATAATAAGATCGCCACATAGGTGCCGGTACCGGCCGTTGTATAATTTTAGCTTCTTCGGTCTAGGTTCCTAAGGAAGATTAAAAAAACCTTTGAAGTACTTCGTGGCTCGTTGCTAAGGAGTCTTGAGCAATGCGAGGTCCTGCTTGTGCCAGGTCTGCCAGACATAGATTGTGTTTTCCACATGAGGCCGCACGTAGGTGTACAGCAACTGCGAACAGACAGAGAAAGCAAACCGCTTGAATGTCCTACGCAGCATGCCAATGTGCTAGTTCACAGTTCTGATGCCTTCTCAGCTTGACCTGAGCAGCTCAGATCAGCATGGACAAGTATCTCAAAGTCGTGCTCCTGGGTGACTGCTTGCCGGACATGTTCTCGAAGGTTGTATGTGATATTCGGCTGGTGGCGAATGTGAACAACCTTACACTCCCCTGAATTGAACTGGAGCAGATTGTATCGTAACCACTCATACGCTCTGTCCTGGCCTCGCTGATTTGCGTCTGATACTTGAC